GGGGGGGGGGGGACAGGAAATAGTGACCTGTTGGATTTCTGGCTTTGTGGAGCTCTTGAAGACAGGCAAACAGGTCCTTTTGGGAAATCCTGAAGATTGTATGTATTTCAGTGAAAAAGGTGTGGAAAAGGTGGATCTTCACTGGAAGTCTTGAACTTCAGAACATGAGGAATCTGGAGCAGCCCATATCAGGAAGCAGATGGACCAAATAGTAAGAAAGAACTACAGTGGTGCCTCGGTAGACGATGATAATCTGTTCCACTGAAATCGCTGTTTAGCGAAATCATCGTCTCGCGAAAAGCATTTCCCTATTGCAATGCATTGAAACCTGTTTAATGCGTTCCAATGGGGAAGAATTGTCATTGTCTAGCAAAGATCGGCCCTAGGAAAGCCACTTTGCGAACCACCGATCAGCTGTTTAAATCTCTGTCTTGTGAAGCTTAGGTTCTGAAAATATCTGTTTTGAGAGCGCAGAGGGAGCATCCAAAATCGTTGTTTAGAGAAAATCGGTTTGCGAAGCAGGGACCAAACACTGTCCAACAAAATTACCCCATAGGAATCACTGTTTTGCGAATCGTTATAGCGATCGCAAAAAGCCAATGTCTAGTGAAAAAACTGTCATGTGGGGTAACTGTCTAGCGAAGCACCACTGTATTGTGCACTTCTCTTCAACCAGGCTTTTCTGTTCTGACTTATGAGCTTCTGATTGATGGGTTTCTGGTGCCCTCTCTGGTCACTGTTCTCTAAATGTCATGCAAGAACAGGTTTTTGTCTCAGCTCTGCTGGGATTTCTCTCACTGTGTCCCTTGCACAGTAATAGACGGCTGTGTCTTCCTCTTTCAGGTTGTTCATCTGCAGATAGAAGTTGGAGCTGTCCTTAGAGGCTGTGAATCGGCCTTGGATTGCAGGAGTGTAATGACTGTTCCCAGATGCAGTGTTGTAATAGTATACAAGCCATTCCAGTCCTTTTCCAGGTTTCTGTCTAACCCAGCTCATCCCGTAGCTGCTGAGAGTAAACCCACTGGTGGCACAGGTCAGCTTGTGAGATTCTCCAGGTTTTTTCGAGACCGGACCTGACTGGGTCAGCACCACCTGTGAGACGACACCTGTGCATCAAAAGGAAAAGAAAGAAAGAGATAGAGTTGAGAGGAAGCCGCAACAAGGAGAACAAGGATTATTTTAATGATCCAAATGTAGAGAAAAGTAGAATGCAAAATCACTGCACACCTGGAGAATAGGCAGCAAGGAAAACAAGTGTCAGCAACACAGACAACATAATAGAATGATGTGCAGGATCAGAAAAGGAGGTGATGTGCTCTGGGAAGATGTCTCGAGGAGGTGGGGAGCTTTGTGGGCTTAAGTACAAAGTGAAGGTCTCTTTAGCTTTGCATAAATCTACCAACCAAAGAGGGACAAATATTAATACGAAGCAACCCTCATGGAGAATCTACGATGCCATATTTTGGCCAAAAAGAGAGGAGCTCCAATTTGCATTTGGCCACTGCGGTCATTGCAAGTTATTTCTTCTGTAGATTTTCATCTACGGTCCATTCATTTCCTCACTGTGCACCAAGGAAAATTTTGCTTCATCTTCCATGTGATTTGTGCATTTGTAATATCAGCATTCTTTGTAGACGATTCTGGGTTTGATGCAATTTGGGATGTTTCCCAGTTGGAAATCATTCTAACAGCAGTCTAGAATATTCTTAGCTTCTCCTAAATATCTGTATTTTTTTCTATAATGGTCTTGTTGCACAAATCATAGTCTGGTAGGAAAGGGGTGGGAGAGCCACTCTCAGGGATGGAGTTAAGGTGGGAAAATCAATTTTATTTTCTTTACTTGTTTCTGCGGATGGACCGAGAACCATATGCTCACAACTTTCCCCTCAAATCCAGAGTGATTGTTCAATTCATGACAGCATCCAGTACCTAATATCGAACATAGAGAGGAACGGCTGGATAGCTCAGATTCATTGTAGGAAGCCATGACTCACTAAGTCTTTCCCTTCTTCATGATTCACCACACCACCTTCTACATGTATTGCCAAAGACCCTTTTATCTGTCTCAGGAGTGTGACTAAAACAGCTTTTTTGTTTCATTACACCACATACACTGCCCAATTTCCCAGCCACTGATCTCAATTTGAACTGCAGGAAGTTAATTAAACAATGAGTACACCTAGAATGTGCTGTGAGTGTACTGTGTGTGTATATATACAGTACTTAGTTAGTTAGGCATCCTTCAGTCTCGAAAGGCTATGGTAACGTGCTCTGTATAGAGGACTTGGAACAGCGTCTAGTGTGGCTGAGGAGGCCAATTCGGGAGTGACCATCCCTTCCACACTGAAGACAAATCCAATCTGTCCCCTGTCCAGCTCCCTGGTTTTGCTGCTTTTGTGACTTCCTCTTCGCCTCAGCCTGCTGGACAAGGGTCACTTCAAATTGGGAGAGGCCATGATGCAACGGCTGCCTCCAGGCTGAATGCTCAGAGGTCAACGTTTCCCATCTGTTAAGGTCTATTCCTAAGGCCTTCAGATCTCGCTTGCAGATATCCTTGTATCGCAGCCATGGTCTCCTTCTGGGACGATTTCCCTGCACTAATTCTCCATACAGGAGATCTTTTGGAATCCGACCATCAGCCATTCTCACAACATGCCCAAGCCAACGTAGACGTTGCTGTTTCAGTAATGTATACATGCTGAATATTCCAGCTCGTACAGTACACTCACAGCACATTCAGTATTGTATGCAATATTATTATGCCATTTTTAATCCTGAAGATGACAGGACATGTTTTTCTTTGTTGAGAGCTTGAATGTATTGTTTTTAATTTTTTATAGATATCCTTGCAAACTAATAATGTGAACATTTTTAGCCAAAAGTGTGGTCAACTTTTTCTATGATTTTCTTTTGCTAGTTTCCTGCTCATGATTCTTCACATCACCCGATTTGACGTCTCTCTCTCTCTCTCCAACCACCTTTCCCTCTCTGCCTACTCCGTTCCAGTAGCCCAGGAAATGATGGTTGGACTCTTGCCATCACGGTCCAAAGTAAAGGGGATTTAAGACCATTTCCAAGCCTGAAAGGAAAAGGTACCTCTGTGCCCTTTGCACAATAATACACAGCAGAGTCTTTACGCTTCAAGCCTTCCATCCGCAGATCTGCTGAACTCTGCGGCATTGTCTCTGGAGATGGTGAATCTTCCTTAAACCTTGGAATTATACCACTGGAAAACACCATCATGCCTTATTCTTGCCACCCACTCCAGGCCTTTCCCTACAGCTTGCTGGATCCAGTTCATGTTATAGCTGCTAAAAGTGAATCCTGAAGCTTTGCAGGTGAGGCAAAGGGAACCTCTGGGGGGCACAACATCTGTTCCAGTCTCCACCATCTGCACCTCTGAGTGGCATTCTGAAAAGAAAGAAAAAAACAAAATGTATGAAGGATAAAGGATCGACGTAATACTATGTAGTAGGATTTCACCCCCTGTGTCTCTGGCACAGAAATACCCTGCTGTGCCCTGTGCATTCAGGCTGTTTGTTTTCGAGGAGAAGTTGTGAGTGTCCTAGGAAGCTCTTAATCATCCTTCCATTGGCGAAGAATTACAGCTGGTATCCCTGGAGTGATGATCGCTAGCAAACAATTCCAGTCCTTTGTCCTGTTTTTGTCTGATCCACCTCATGCAATAGTTGTTGACCTCAAACGTTGCGAAAGCACAAGTTATTTTCTGCAATTCTTCAGGTGTTTCCATAACTGGCTATAAAAGAAGACAATTGGTTTGAAGAAGGTACATACGTACCTTCTTTACCATTCTGAGGGGCAGCTTCCTCTTGTAACACAGTGTCTCCCTGAGGTGTTGTGAGTACAGAAATACACAACACCATAGGCAACTCCACGTGAGGAGAGAACTCACTAGAGTTGCCTGAAGGGATGGATGCATGGCTCCTCAGAGAAGAAGCAACCTCTTTGCTCCAAGTAATGGAGCCAGATTCTTGCAATCTGTTTCAGGCCTTTCCCAGCTGGCCGGCATGTCCAGAAGACCAAGATGTATCATCCAGATCAGGAAAGAGATCTTGGTGTGCTGGTGGACAACACGATGAAAGTGTCAACCCAGTGTGCGGCGGCAGTGAAAGAAGGCCAATTCCATGCTATGTATCATTAAAAAGGGGACGGAAAATAGAACAGCCAGTATTATAATGCCATTGTACAAAACACTGGTAAGGTCTCACCTGGAGTATTGTATATATTTCTGTTCACCACACCTAAAGAAAGACATCATGGAACTGGAAAAGGTGCAGAAGAGACCAACTAAAATTATGACTGGGCTGGGGCACCTCCCTGATGAGGAAAGGCTACAGCTCTTGGGGCTCTTTAGTCTAGATAAAAGGTGCCTGATGGGGGACATGATTGTCACATATAAAATTATGCAGGGGATGGATAAAGTGGATAGAGGGAACTCTTTTCTCTCTCACGCAATACCAAAACCAGGGACATCCATTCAAATTGAGTGTTGGGAGAGTGAGGACAAAAGAAAATATTTATTTACCCAGTGTGTTGTTAGTCTGTGGAATCCCTTGCCACAGGATGTGGTGATGGCATCTAGCTTAGATGCCTTAGAAAGGGGATTGGACAGATTTCCGGAGGAAAAGTCCCTCGCAGGTGACAAGTTATGATGGGGATGTATCATCTCCAGGCTTAAAAGGAAGGGACCTCCAAAGGCCGGATGCAGGGGAGAGGGATCGGGAGACAGGCATCTAGTTATCTCATGTGCTCCCAGAGGCATCTGGTGGGGCCACCATGAGAGACAGGAAGCTGAACTCAATGGACCCTTGGCCTGATCCAGCAGGGCTCTTCTTATGTTCTTATGTACATATGTACCTTCTTTAGCATTCTGAGGGACAGCTTCCTCTTGTAATCCAGTGTCCCAACTGGTATTTTCTCCCTGAGCTGTTGTGAGTAAAGAAATAGACAACACAGTCAGCAATTGCACATGGGGAGAGAACTCACTAGAGGTGCCTGAAGGGATGGATGCATGGCTCCTCAAAGAAATTGCAACCTCTTTGCTGCGAGTATGGACACTGATTCTTGCAACCTGTTTCAGACCTTTACCAGGTGGCTGACGTGTCCATGTCCAGAACTCTGTCATTTTACAGAGGTTTTTGTTGGGCCTCATCACTGCAGGACCGGATGATTCCATCTAGATATCTGTAGAATCTACATGGGAAATCAAAATATTGTTACTCATAATCACTATGGTCTAATTCAGTTCTTCAAAAAAACCTTTGCTTCTGAAAGTGGAATATTGTGCTTCTGGCCCCATGATTCAAAGCCAGGAAATGGCCCAAAATGGCTGCACAATTTCGTACTTGTCTGGAGCAAGGGAAAACAGAGGGAAAGCTTTGCATAGCAAAGGGCAGCCTGAATGTTTACAATACCCATGGCACTAGTCAAACTGGTCTACAGGATACCTTCATGAGCTTGATACCTTTCACAAAATGACACCAAGCAAGGGGAAATCCAGGAACCTGACTCCTTCTTTCATTAGTTAACCATTTCTCATCCAAATTCAAAACCATGGCTGTTCTATTCAAATACCAAGGCTGTATTTCAACAGTCTTTTTCTGTTGATGGAGCAAAAATCATGTTCTTTCCCCTCAAATCCAGACTGACATCTTGGGCACAAGCTATCTCTAATCTGCATATCCCTTTATAAGCCTGGCAGGCTCTTAGGATCATAACATGGATAGCTCAGTGGTTTAGACTTCTGGCTTTAGAGCCAGAGGTTTGGAGTTTGATTGTTGTGTTGTAGGGTGAACATGGAATGCTCACCTGCTGGATTTCTCTCTTGGTGAAATTCATAGATGCAAACAAACAGGTCGTTGGGGAAAATAAGAAGATTGTGTCTAAGATCAAAGAAGGTGGAAAATCCCTCTGAACTATACTGGCAGTTTGGAAGTTCAGAAGAGGACGATTCTGGAACAATCCATATAAGACTGTGGCTTGGCCACATTGTAATAAATCATTTTGAATTTTTGTTTGACCGTTCTTTATTATTCTGCCTTATGAGCTCCTGATTCATGGGTTTCTGGTGCCCCCTCTGGTCACAGTTCTCTAAATGTCATATTGTAAAAGGTTTTTGTCTCAGCTCTGCTGGGATCTCTCTCACTGTGTCCCATGCACAGTAATAGACCGCCGTATCTTCCTCTTTCAGGTTGTTCATTTGCAGATAGAGGTTGGAGTTGTCCTTAGAGGCTGTGAATCGGCCTTGGATTGCAGGAGTATAATAACTATGTCCAGAAGAAGTGCCAAGATAGTACACAAGCCATTCCAGTCCTTTGCCAGGTTTTTGTCTAACCCAGTTCATCCAGGTGCTGCTGAGAGTAAACCCACTGGTGGCACAGGTCAGCTTGAGAGATTCTCCGGGCTTTTTCAAGACTGGACCTGACTGGGTCAGCACCACCTGTGAGACAACACCTGGCCATCAAAATGAAAAGAGAGAAAGAGATAAGAGTTGAGAGGAAGCCACAACAAGGAGAACAAGGATTATTTTAGAGAGACAAACGTAGAGAAATGTAGAATGCAAAATTGCAGCACACCTGGAAAATTGGCAGCCAGGAAAACGAGCATCAGCGACACAGACAACATAGTAGAGGGATGGGCAGGATCACAATGGGAGTTGATGTGCTGTGGGATGATGTTTCGAGGAGGTGGGGAGCTTTGTGGGCTTAAGTAGGAAGTCAAGGTCTCCTTAGCTTTGCATAAATCTCTCGGCCAAAGAGGGATAAGTATGTATACCAAACAACACACGTAGAGAATCTATAAAGCCATGTTTTGTCCAAAAAGGAACTCCAATTTGCATTGGAATTTATGACAACTCAATCGTAGTGATCATCTGAGGTTATTTATTTTGCAATTTTTTGTCTACAGTCCATCCATTGACTCACTGTGTCTCACAGCACAATAGAGAATGTTGCTTCATCTCCCATGGGATATATTTGTGATGTGGATCTCCTTTGTAAATCTCTCTGTTCAATGATGCTATAGGTTACGTTGCCTAGTTGTGTGAAGTGTTGGAAATAATTCTGATGCCCATCCAGAATAACTTTGGCTCCCCCCTCCCTCAAATATGTGTCTTTCTCTGTAATCATCATGTGTCCAAAAACCTATAGAGGCTGGTAGCAAAGGGGTGAGAGATCCACATTTGGGTATGGAGTTAAGGTGGACAAGCCTGTTCTTTTCACTCCACCGTTTTCTGTCGATTGACCAGGAGCCTTATATTCACTTCTCTCCTCTCAGCTCCAGACTGACATCTTAGTTCAAGATATCTCAAAAATGGTGTCTCTCTTTATGAGCCCAGTGAGGTTCTTTTGAGGAGAAAGAAGGGGGAACATAAAGTAAGTAAGTAAGTAAGTAAGGAAGGAAGGAAGTAAGTAAGGAAGGAAGGAAGGAAGGAAGGAAGGAAGGAAGGAAGGAAGGATGGAAGGAAGTAAACAAGCAAGCAAGCAAGCACGCAAATGAACAAATAACCACATAAATAAAAATTATCAAGGTAAGCCTTTTGCCTAGTTCTATCACTCTCATGGGTGTGTTTTGTGGGGACGTGGGAGAGGGACAGAAAATGGTTCCTTGGATGTCGTTTTGTACGTCAGGCAGACACTGGGATGGGGGGACAGGAAATAGTCACCTGTTGGATTTCTGTCTTTGTGGAGCTCTTGAAAGCAGGCGAGCAGGTCCTTTTAGGGAACCCTGAAGATTGTAGGTGTCTCGGCGAAAGAGGGGTGGGAACTCTCTTGGATCATTACTGCCAGTCTTGAGCTTCAGAACATAAAGAGTCTGGGGCAGCCCCATATCAGGCAGTGGATGGACCAAATAGTAAGAAAGAATTATTGTACACTTCTCGCGGAACAGGCTTTTCTGTTCTGCCTTATGAGCTTCAGATTCATGGGTTTCTGGTGCCCCCTCTGGTCATTGTTTTCCAAATGTCATGGGTGGGAACTCTCTTGGATCATTACTGCCAGTCTTGAGCTTCAGAACATAAAGAGTCTGGGGCAGCCCCATATCAGGCAGTGGATGGACCAAATAGTAAGAAAGAATTATTGTACACTTCTCGCGGAACAGGCTTTTCTGTTCTGCCTTATGAGCTTCAGATTCATGGGTTTCTGGTGCCCCCTCTGGTCATTGTTTTCCAAATGTCATGTTGTAAAAGGTTTTTGTCTCAGCTCTGCTGGGATCTCTCTCACTGTGTCCCTTGCACAGTAATAGACAGCCGTGTCTTCCTCTTTCAGGTTGTTCATTTGCAGATAGAAGTTGGAGCTGTCCTTAGAGGCTGTGAATCGGCCTTGGATTGCAGGAGAATAGAAACTCTGTCCAGAAGCAGTGCCATAGTACCATGCAAGCCATTCCAGTCCTTTGCCAGGTTTCTGTCTAATCCAGCCCATCCAGGTGCTGCTAAGAGTAAACCCACTGGTTGCACAGGACAGCTTGTGAGATTCTCCAGGTTTTTTCAAGACTGGACCTGGCTGGGTCAGCACCACCTGTGAGACGACACCTGGCCATCAAAAGGAAAAGAGAGAAAGAGATAGAGTTGTTGTCAACAAGGACACATGGTAGTAAGGATTATTTTAATGATCCAAATGTAGAGAAAAGTAGAATGCAAAATCCCAGCACACCTGAAGAATAGGCAGCCAGGAAAACGAGCATCAGCGACACAGGCAACATACTGGAGTGATGTGCAAGATCACAGTGGGAGTTGATGAGTGATGGGAAGGTGCTTTGAGGAGATGGGGAGCTCTGTGGCTTTAAGTAGGAAGTGAAGGTTCTACTAGCTTTGCATAAATCCATCAAACAAGGTGAGATAAGCATGAATACCCTACATATGAATAACAACATATATGGATATTCTACACTGCCATGTTCTCTCCAAAAAGGTGGAGCTCCAATTTGCATGTTAATTATTGACAGCTGAATGGCTGTGGTCATCTCAGGTTATTTATTCTGCAAGCTTTCATCTGTGAACTTACTGTATATCACTGCACAATGGAAAATGTTATTTCATCCCCTACATGATTTGTATATTTGTGATATCAGTCTTTTTTTTTAATACATCTCTCTGTTTCAAGGTGCAATAAGATGTTTCCCCGTTGTGTGAAATGCTGGAAATAATTCTAATGGCAATCCCAAATAGGTGTCTTTCTCTGTAATCAACATGTTCCTCAAAAGATAGGCTGGTATGAAAGGGAGTTGGATGTCCACTCTCAGGTGTGGAGTTATGGTGGGAAAAGCCTATTTCTTCCTCTTCACCTTTTTCTTCACCTCAAATCCAGACTGATATCTCAATTCACAACCCAATGTGAGCACAGAGGGACAGTGTGGAGAGAGTCTGCAGGGCAGAAAGATGATGTATTTGTAATGCCTACTTCTTGTGCATGCATGCCCCTGGATTACATATATCTGTGAAGATTCTCAGTCATGCAGGTGGTGGTCATCTGGAAGTTGGGTCATGGTAACTGGACTTCTTTTTTGTTAGGTGAATGGGTGGAGAAGGACTGCAGCAGTGGGATTATCCCTCATCCCCCAGTCCTTTGTCCTTCTAACAAGCCTATTCAGAGCAGGGGGAAGTGAAACCAACATGGAGGATCTATCAGGGACCTCCTTCCAACTCTCCTCAGACTGAAGAAGCTAGTTGGATGAGTAGCGAGATGTTTCAACCTAAGAAGAAAGAAATCCAGTTGCCAACTACCAGACTGGATTGCATTACACAAATTGGGTGTTTGTGTGCATTTGTGAAGCAGGGCAGGGTTGCATGCTTGTGGTGCAAATGTGTCAGACATGCAGACTGGATAACTCTTGAGGCCAACAAGGGGTTTTGCAATTATATAATTCGACTCTTATATATTTGCATCTCAGTAATTAGACAATGGCACTTTGTGGCTACCAGTTCTGAGGGTTATCTATGCTAATAGTAGAATCAAGGGTAGCAGGCCTCTGAATTCTAGTTGCTGAGGCAGAACTACAAAAATGGGATTAAAATATTGCCTTTTTAATGATGTAAGCCACCTTGGGTCCTAACAATCCATTTAAAAACCCCAACTCAGGCAGCCAGCCACTCAGGGAAAGTTTGCCTGAAGAGAAAAGTCTTCACCTGCTTGTGGAAGGACAGCCAAGATGGGGCCAGGCTGGCCTCCAGTGGCAGGGAGTTCCAGAGACAGTCTTGTTCGATTTGGATTATGTTTTGTCTTCATTTGTTGTGGGAATAGGAGTTGATGGGGTTAATCTGCTTATTTTTAACTTTTGTGTGCATGATGTTATCTGATTCTAGTATTCCAAGGTACAGTATTTATAATTTTCATCACTTGACAGTGATTTTTATAATATTGCAGTCTTTTTAAATTCTATTCCATTTAGTTTTTTGATCTTGCCACAATGTATAGACAGAGATGCACATCTATCAATTCCAA